ACGGAGGGGGCAAATTGTAAGGTTTCTGTGACATTGAGTGTGTACTGGTAAATGTCCCCAAAATCCGGTATGAACTCGTAAATGACCATATATATTAGGGGGTTTCTGTAGTTTGTCCTTTAAAAAAAAAATCCATTTTAGATAATTAAAATAAATAAAAGGAAAACCCCTAGACTGAGTTGGCACCTCAAATAAAGAGCAACAATATTGGAGAAGGAAAATGCTAGGTTTACCACATTTTTCATACCATATTTGTACCACCTCTCTAATAAAGGTGGGCCCTTCACCTCTATTAGAAATGTAGTACAAATGTGGTATGAAAAATGTGGTAAGCCCAGCATTACTCATTGGAGAACAATGTGATCGGTGGTAGTTAATAATATTAGAAAGAAAACTATAATAACCTATTAAAAGGTTTATTAAAAGAAGAGTTATTTCCCTTATTCCGTCGAGGTTTTCTCGAAATTAAAAGAATAATTGTTAATGAATATCTATGCATCGAACTATTATATATCAGAAATTCTCTATGCAGGATCTATTTTTTAAAGAATGGACACGCATATCAATATTGTAAAAATGTAACAACAGCATGTAGGTATATTTTGCTGGCGACAATAATATCGACATATTATGGATCCTCATTATATTTTCATGTAAGACTTACCATGATAATAGCTTTGATATTGTCTCTGGTGAGCCTAAAGGTAGAATTGGTGTCGTCACTTTCCTTTGCAGCATCATCACTGTAAAAAGCTATTAATTCATCCACCATATCTGTATCAGCTTCATTGTCATCTTTCTTGTCCTTATTTGTATTCCTCTTAGCCATGTGATCATCGATGATCTTATCAATAAACACGTCTAGTGACCTACGAGCCTTAGCCATTCTGTCCTTAAAAGCCTGTGCATGAACCCAACCCAACCATGGAAGAAAATCTTGCATGTTAAAAGCCCCAAAAAGCTTTGAAAATTCCTGCAAAATCTTCACAAACTCTCCTTGCTCTTCATGGGAGCTTGACCCGAACGCTGCCCGATAAATTATGTTCTTCGTTAGAGTGAGAACCAATTGACCGATATTGACCGGTGAGATGGTTTTTGTTGCCACATGTCGAACCATCTCATCAACTTCCTCACGTACTGAGGTCCATGACTCAGCCCGTTTCCGACTAAACAGATTTATGACGCAAATTTTGCGCATGCGACGCCAAAACGGGCCATAGTTGGCAAAAGCCATATCGGCCCGATCATACGTCAAGTAAGATATGGCGGCATTTGCAGGCCGATTGGCGAAGGAACTGTCCTGGACTTGGAGGATTTCTCGGGCCACCTTCGGAGTTGACACGACCATGATATGCAAGACCCCCATCTGGAGATGGAGAAGCCCGCCGTATTGTTTAGCCAGTTGAGCTAAACCGCGGTGGGTGAGTTGGTCCATCATGAGCATGTTCCCAATAATGGGCCACCCTCTTGGCCCTGGTGGGTACGGGAGTTTTCGGCGTGATTGCATGAACAAAACAAACCAGGCTACGATGAGTAGAAAAAGAAGAAGAATGAACAACATGGGAGAAGATTGCAGGGATTCAAGTGCTTGGTGAAGGAGGAGATCATCCATGGCTTGGTTTGTGTTCTTGATAATGGGGTTGTTGAGGAGGTTAATATGTATATTGTGAATTTGATAAGGTGAAAAGAAAAGGATGAGTTGCTTATATAATTAAAATGGGATCTGCGACCTTTATGGGGATTGAACTAATGTGGCAAGTAATTACTGGGGACATACTATTCAGGATGATCTTATCTCACCAACTCCATTCCCAGTGGGAACTTTGGCTCTACTTGTCGAAATATTTGAAATTTGTTTGGATTTTTGTTTTGGGATTTCCTTAATTCGTTTTGTTTGGTATACAAAAGATTAATAAGGATCTGTATAAAAGTTCACATGTATAATATGTGATCTGGACTGCTTATGTGGAAGTGGAATGCCTTTAAATGTAGAGAAATGTAGAGACTCGGAATCCGTGCAGATATTATTTGCATATTGCATGATAAATCTTATAAGAAAATTAATTCATACATACTAATTAGCTAGCTAAAACTTGATCAAACATTATAGTAGTACTCTACTACCACCTCAACTTGTGATACTCCTATTGAAAATTTGCCATATGTCATTTAAGAATAACAATTTAAATTTTTTTTTTACAATTGGACTTGGAATCTAATTATTATTATCCTTTTGAATAAAACTAAGAAAAACAAAAAATCAAAAAAAGAAAAGAAAAGGGGGTGGGCTAAATTATTATTATCCTAAATTTAGCCCAACCCATTTTGTTTTGAAATCTAATTACTCTTACCATATTTATATACCACATTCATATTCACCTTATGTGGTAGATGAGGTGGACATACACACTAGGACGGACCTAGGATTTTAAAATGGGGTGGGCTAAATTTAGGTACTAACCAAGGATTGAAATATCGGCCGATACACCGATATATCGATATTTTCAACTATCGACATCGATATTGGGGGGTAAGGCCATATCTTCCCCTGTATCGATGATATATCCCTAATATTTTGCCGATATCCCCGATATTTCCCGATACCCATAACATAACCCAAAAAAAATTTAGAACTTTTGAAGGCAATTGAAGCAAATTATAACCCAAAATAGCTAATCCTTGCCCAGAACCCAATAATTTATTAATATGAAGAATCTATGCACAGTCCACTGCCCACATACCTCCAATCCATCTGAAGAGGACATGGCGATCAGTTTTGTATCTATGAGCATAGGAACTAGACCTAGTATTAACTCAAATGAATCTTATGATGGCTATGGTTATATCATGTTTGATTATAGTGGAACTAGTTATGAAACTCAAGATGATGAAACAGATTATGGACCTACTAGTTTGGTTAATCCTAACTATCCCATATATAGGAGGACATTAGGGAGCTCAAGAGAGACGTATGTTCACCATGTTCAACACATGGCTTACAAAGTTGTCCCTTATTGTTTCAACCTCATAGGAGCTCTTCATTTATGTAGATGGACACTTATCTAAATTGTAATCCAATGTTTAAACAAACTAAGGATTTATGCATGGTTTATTCATTCCAATCAACATTTTATTTTCAAACTTTTCATTAACGCGCATTACATATCACTTATATTTCATCGTATGTATATCTTATTATTAGTAAATTTTGAGTTTTATTTGTTCAATACATTCATTGATAATGTAAATAACATCTATGAAAGTTTTACACCAAAATTATGTGTTTGGCCTATATCTATCATTTTTGTTGATTTTTTCCCAATACTTAAAATGATAACGATATATCCCCCGAAATATCCGTAAATTGGAGGCCCGATATTATCTGCACGGCCGATATTTTAATCCTTGGTACTAAGTAGATAGAAAACTCAACAATACCATGTGATTTCATTGATAACCGAAAAAAAAAAATTACAGCAAGAACAATGAAATCAATTACAAATCCTATTTGATAATTCATAACTCATAAACTGAAATTGATGCCCCAATTGCAAATCCTAATTGATAATTCATAAGTGTCAATTGCTAATCATAATTGATACTTCATAAACTCCAAAAAAATCCTCAAATTAAAGCATCAAGAAATTGAAAGAAGCTTACATGACGAATATAGGAACTTGGTTCACTTGAATTAAGTCTTGAAGGTGAGTGCAGCAACAACAAGAGCGTTCTTTTTTTTTTTTCCCTCTACATGTGAGGGTAGGGTGGTGCTTCTTCTTCTTCTTCTTCTTCTTCTTTTTCTACGTGCTGTGTGAGAGTTATTTTATTTTTTCTCTTTTTTTTTCTTTTGCTGTGCTGTGTGTGAGTTCCCCCACACCCCAACTAGATGAGGTTAGGTTATTTAAATTGGGTGAGCTAGGATTTTATTTTTTTGGCTAGACAAAAGAAGCCACCTAGGCTATAGGAGAACTAGATGATATATTTAAATTGGGTGAGCTAGGATTCTATTTTTTTGGTTGGAAAAAAGAAGCCACCTAGGCTATAGCCTAGGTTTGCCAAATTAAAGATCCATCCCTGCATCCACATCAATTAAAATTAATTTAACATTTTCTTTTCTTTTATGATTTATTGATGTGATTGTCCATTTCATTTGCCGCATAAGGTGGTAGGAGAATGTGATGTACAAATGCGGTAAGTAAGAGTAGCATTACTTAAAGCAAAAAGAAAAGAGCCACCACCCACCCCAACCCGTCGTCGACCTCGCGCTGCCCCTCTCTCTCTCTCTCTCTCTCTCTCATAGCTTAATCATTGCTCAATCCTCTTCTCACCCTTTCGGTGGCTACCCCAAGACTAGTGATTTTGTCTCTTTTTCTCACTAATTTATTAACTTCTAATTTTCAAATTGCCATCATATGTGAAGAAAGTTGGAGTGGGAGGTGTCTGTTAGTAGTAATTGAATGAAATTGGACCCTTTTCAATGCTGATGGGTATGGGAGTTTTGGGCGTGACATGAACAAAACAATCATGAAAAAGATGAGTTGAAGAAGAAGAATGAGCAACATGGGAGAAGATATTCAAGTGCTTGGTGAGGGAGGAGATCATCCATGGCTTGGTTTGTGTTCTTGAAAATGGGGTTGGTGAGGCGGTTAATATAAATTATGAATTTGATAAGATGAAAAGAAAAGGATGAGGTTGTTATATAATTAAAATGTGATCTGCCGCCTTTATGAAGATTGGGTTAATGTGGCAAGCCATTACTGGGGACTTACTATATTGTTTTGTATACAAAAGATTATCTGTATAAAAGGTCAGATGTATAATATGTGATCTGGACTGCTTATCATGTAGATGTTAAATTCAGATAGATGGGTCAGCAATTACTACTAACAACATCGATATTTTCTTCAACTTAACCACCTACAAAGCCCAATAGATATGGAGTTTTATACAAAAGGTCTTGGTGATATTAATAGTAGAACCATTCATTATATATTATATATTATTTAGTCAAATTTTCGATGTAGAACTTATATTCTTCAACAGTGGAGACTCAGGATCCGTGAAGATTTAATTATTTGCATATCATATGATAAATTTCATAAGAAAATTAACTCATGCATACCAATTAGATAGCCAAAAATTGGTCTAACATAATTCTTTTATATCTCAATGTTAGAAGAGGGTTCACATTCAAATCCCTCCTTCGATGAAAAGAAACTACTAGGTGCCAAAAAAATATGATAATAATAACAAAGGGATGCAAAATGCACCAAAAAAATTATGTACTGACAATTATGAGAGGTGTTGAATCTTGTAAGGGTCAGTAGGAATTTGCTAATGTAAGGTTTGCACAACATTGCATGCTTATACATGTGGTTTTAATTTGAACACTTTAGTATCCTTACATAGTGAAATTTTGAAAAAGTAGTTTTGATGTTAGGCTAACCGTGAGGAGACATGTTAATTAATTGAGAGTCGTGACGAGTTGAATACAAGGAATCAAGACATGTGATTTAGGTTTTTAATGGTTTTATTTAGCTAATCTTTGGGAATTTAAATTGCGATTGTGTTGGGAATTAGAGTTTCTAAATGCTAATCTTAGGGGATTATCGTTGGCTAATGATATTTCTATAAAGGGTATGTGAAGTTGGTCACGACTGCCATGCCTTCAACAATGGACTTTATGTTAGGAAATCGGGTCCTTGATCTCTTAGACGCACTTAGAGCCGGCCCTTGCTATGAACTAACAATAACCATAACCCCATCCTCACGAACGTAATCCCTAATCCAATTTCTTTGGTGCTATAATCTTAACCCAATTTCATGATCAGAGTTACGGGAAAATTAACTATTGTCCTACTCAGACTAGAACTAGCAGCTGCAATAGGGACAACCAATTCATATGATTGACGTGTCACGTGTAACATGTTGACTCAAAGAATTTGACAAACATAGCATGTCAATACATATTGAACAGATATAGTAAACTAAATGAGCTTCATCGAGTGATCCGAGAACGAGCATTGTTCCAAAATTAAAAATTAAAAAATTTACTTAATGAGCTTCATCGAGTGATCCGAGAACGAGCATTGTTCCAAAATTAAAAATTAAAAAATTTACTTAATCAAAACAATGTCAGAAGATTTTAACAAAGCAAATAGCAAATTCTGTATGTAAAGTAATTTGGAAAAACGAATGAAAAGGTGGCCAGAGTTACAATACCTTCAGCCACATCATACATTGCTGATACAAAGTGTTTAGGGATATGCAAGAACAGGCGACCAATCAGCTTTGCCGCTGAAAGTGCTTTTCCTTGTCGTGCTTTCCCTGTAAGAACTAAACTAAGACTTCAGAACTAGTATCCTAACAAATAAGATTGATTGCAGACTGTATCATTTATTTCCTCGTTTGCCTCTCAAATATGGCAAAGGGGAAAGAAAACAAGGCCAGCTGTGATTTGGCTTTTCACAATCTCACATTTCCATTCATTTAACTGATTGTTCTAGAATCAAATTGACATGACCAGAGTAGCTATAACCCTGTAACGGATCTAGCATCACCTTGCCATGAAAAGAATAGTGACCTTTGAGTTTCTCTGTCACATTTGACCATCAGAGTAGCTATAATCCTACAACAAAATACGAAGTACAGCGAGACCAACTGCAGATATGGAGACAAGGGTTCCTATGCAATATTTGATCACATCGTACTTTGCAGCTTCCAACTGAGCTCTTAAAGTATGAATTTCCTGTAAACAAGGTTCAAACAAAGTTTAAATAAAATTCAACGTTATAATCAATTGATGCAAACCAGGAAACTTCCAGTGTAGTAATGGTGCTCACTCGGTCAAGTTTGTTTGTGAGATTGGTGGTTTCTGCATTTTGATTGGCTAGCTCATCGCGTATGCGCCTGCACTCAGGCATAAGTACTAATTATAACAGTATCAAGAACCAAAAAAAGAACTACTGAAGATTATAGATACAATAGTACAGAGAAAAACAAAAGTTTGCTTACCCTCTTTCAAGATTTAGATCCAAGCGTTGCCCAGCTGTAACCTTGTCAATCTCGTATCTGTTTCAGGAAATAAAATATTTGAGCTCAGAACATAACACAATAAAATATTGAAAAAAATTAGTTAAGAGCCAATATGCCACCTGATGGTAGAAACCACAAACGTTATACATCATAAGACATACCTCAATTCACTACGCATTTTCTCTATGTCACCCCGAAGTTTTTCAGTCTCACGTTGCAACATCGAAAAATGGTGCTCCTATGTAAAGTTGTGGGTTAATTAGAATCAACACAAAGATATTGGTCCATATAAAGTACTATTAAGAATGTACTACTATTAATGATTATTTATTTTGGTCTTATATAAAGGAATATTCAGAATATGATGCTTCATCAAAAGTGTTTACCAGAATCCTAAAGGGGGTTTCACTAAAACACCCAAAATGGGGGCTGAAATTATAAAAAAAATCCAACACCCAAAACACTTTATAAACACACCCAAAACCCATCATTACACACACTCAAAACTCATTTATAAACACACCCAAAAAATATACAATTGTTGATTTTGGGGTTGATTTTGGGTGTGTTTCTATGTTTAAATAGTGTGTGGGTTTTTTTATAAATACATGCCTAGGATTGGGTTTATTTATAATAATCTAAATCCTAAAACCATCACATGCATCTAGTACTGAACGTGAACATAAGATATAAATACGTTGAGAAAAGCAATGCATGGACTTATTCAACTCATTTGAAGTGGAAAGGTGCTTGAATGAGCATTTTCCAGATCTGGAAGAACATACGGCACAAATGTTTACAGATTTAAGGTCCTTAGTCTCTTGAAGGGATTTTGTTGTTGAACTGGAAGTTCAAATTAGAAATGTGAATGGCATCTCTACTACTTCCTCATCTATGCAAGCATATCAAGTCAGTTTTCCAAAATGAATTCCTTGATTTATTATGAAGCAAGAAATGCACTTCATTGAGCATTTCACGATAGAAACCTTCAGGAGAATATTGATTAGTTTAGTCAACCCTTGGAAGAAACAGGTCAATTTTCTGATTATTCAACGAAAGGTGACAGCAGGTTGGGGATCAAACCTATCCCCTGCAAATCCTGCTGTGAAAACACTTGCTAATTTCCATATTTTCAATTCTCCCTAAAAAACTCAAGTCAACACAGCCTTCCATCAGGCCACCTTCAAATCTACCTACGAAACGACCACCATATGTTTTGCTTTTGTTTCTAGGTTAACCATCCAAAAATAGAAACCGGTCAGTATTTTCCCCTTAGCTTACGGTTTTGGATGACATGCATGCCTCTGTACATTTAGTTTTGTGCAATGATGTGAAAGGCAAAACAAGCCCAAGCTGATCGTGGTCAACAATGCTCAACGTGATTTTGTCACATGTTAATATCAAGCCCACCAAAACCCCCTACCCCACACTGAGATTGCATTAAGGAGTAAATAAAGAAAAATTGTGGCAGAAAACGACTAAGCTAATGACAACAAATTTCATTAAAGACTAAACCAAAAGAATAACTTTTAAGAAAGAAGGATGGAGAAATCTGTTAGAACCTGTGAGCTTTTTACTTCAGACTTAAACTTGGACAGGTTTGATTCTTGTAGCATTCCAGCCTACAAACACCAATGAAAACGCATCAAAACTACATACAAGATTCGCCGTAAAAACATCGCACACAATGCGTGCAACTTCTAAACTAACACCGCAGCTAAAACTTCATTGAAGCAAATCAACAAATAGTTGGAGAACAGTTTTACCTTCTGCATTTCCGCTTTGGAAACAAAAGCATGAGCCACATTCTCCAAGCTATCGTTCAGAACTTCAGTGATCGCAGCTGTGATAGCCTCCGCCTGCTTCGTCGGCACGCCTTTGGCCTCCAAACCCCTGACCAGAGCCAACGTGTCCACAAGAAACGCGCGATTCCCATTCGGTTTGACCAGTCCCGAAATCTGCCTGCTGAAGAGCCCATATCCATTGTTGCCCGTCGAAGAAGGCGAGTAGAGGTTTCGTCGGAAGCTGGAGAAGAGAAACGCGGAATCGGCACCGGTTTGAAGCACGCGCTTGCAGAGCGCCATAGATTTGTTTTCGATTTACAAAGAAAAATGTTTTGTTTGGGTAAAGTATTTGAAGTGAGAGAGCGGCGAAAAAACATGGTTGGGTGGGTGGCTTTTTATTATGCGTTCCGGTTTTTTTTTTTGTTTTGCGGTTGCGTGCGCGAAAAGCACACGTCTTGCGTTTATATCTCTTCTTCTCGGTCTTTGGTCCAGTACGTCTTAGCGTTAGGGCCTTGCCCAAGTCAAGTCTAGTACTTTGAACACAAAAACAAAAAAAACAAAAAAAAAAAAGTCAAGTCTAGTACAGTTAGCAAAGGCCGCGTATATTTAGTGTATAAAACAAAATGTTTTTTTTTTAACTTCTGAAATTACTATTTGATAGCTTTTGATATCTTGGTATCTTCCTGCAAAAGGGTTTCCCTATACAATTACTAGCAGCAACGATTGGCTCTATTAACACAACCTTTTGTTTAGTTTGACCATATATAGTTTGGGCTTTTCTTTCTTAGGAATTTTGTGGTTTCATTCATGGTGTCGTGTAGAGCAATACCCCAATCATGATTTCTTCCTCATATGCCCTTGGCAGTGGCACATCAAGATCCCCAAGATATGGGTAACTAAATCACCAAAAAGGGTGGTGGGCCATTAAGTTTTCCATTGAAGCCCCATTGGGCATTAAGATCTCTTCACTCCGTTGATGTTAAGTAGGGCCGAATCAAACCAATATATTAACTAGTTTGGTTCAGTTTTAACACTCAAAAAAGTGTAATTTTGGAGCAAATTCAACTAAATAGTAATTAGTTTGGTTTGATTCGGTTTGTTCTATACGAAAATCGTATTAATCAAACCAAATTGCATATATTAATTTTAAGCTTAATTGTTCTAGTGTCCCTTTTTATGGCACTTGGCACTTTTTATTGGCTATTATCATTTATTATGATGCTTCTTTCAGCGCGTTGATATTAATATTTAATATAATCAAATTGTTTGTTTCTTTTATGAATGTTGAATATTGGTAGCAACTTAGAGATTTAGAAATTAGAACAGTGAGATGCAATGTTGACCTTATTTGTTTGAAATTGTTAAGATTGTCAAGTTGACAATTTGGCTTCATAAAGTCATAAGAAGTAAGAAATATTCAATGTCGTTTGTTTTAATCAAGATCTAAAATATTGATGGTTTTGGAAATATCGATAGTCTAAAAATACGGAAATTTCGATGGAAATATTGGGATATTATCGATATCGATACAAATTGAATAAAAATCACGGAAATTGTAAGAAAAACTTGAAAAATTTTCATGAAACTTTGGATGATGTTTATTGAGTTAACTGCGAGCCCTAATGGCTGTTGCCTTTGTAATTGGTGTTCCACTGTGTTGTTTCATCTTAATGTAAGTTGTGAGTTATCTAAACAAGTAGTTGGATGCAAGAAAACTGGTTAAAGCATCAATCCGCATATTAAAAAAATTGTAAGAAAAACTTGAAAATTTTTCATGAAACTTTGGATGATGTTTATTGAGTTAACTGCGAGCCCTAATGGCTGTTGCCTTTGTAATTGGTGTTCCACTGTGTTGTTTCATCTTAATGTAAGTTGTGAGTTATCTAAACAAGTAGTTGGATGCAAGAAAACTGGTTAAAGCATCAATCCGCATATTAAAAGCTATACGGATGTCCAGACTAGAGACTCATATATATATATATATAGTCATTGAGGGATCTTTCAAATAAAACCCTTTAGGATACCCTACAAAAAAAAATTCAATGATCCAAAACGTCTAATTTTCAAGTCTTCATTCATAGATCATCCTTACAAAAAATCAGGCAAAGTGAAAATCATTAAGTCAGTTGGGACCAACAAAATAGATGAACACTTTGCTTCAAGAAAAGACTATAATAACAACCATCTAATTGAGTGGTCAAATGGTTTTGGATTCAAGTGATTTTTTCCTGAGTTGATCTTTGAGGGAATATGTAAAAACTAGATTGTTCAAATCATTGAAATACAATGCATGGTGAGCCCTACAAGGGTGTCCCTATTTGAGGAATCCCTCAACTGAAGCTCTCTATATTGACCTTAGCCGCTAAAAAGAGAGAGTTTTGAGCTTAGCCAAATCGCTTAAACCAAGCCGTCCAATAATGATTTGGTTTGCTTTGATTTATCCTTTCATTTTAACTTATGGCATGTTTACTAATCAGAAATCAAGATAAGCAGGAATTTGAGTAACCATGAATCGTGTTAAGCAGGAATCATGTTAACTAAGAATCGGAGGCATGCATTCCAATTGTTTACTAACTGTCAGGAATCAGAATGAAACTAGAGTTCATTCCCATTAAAATGTTTACTATCCATCATGAATCAAAATGAAAAAAGAAAAAAGAAAAAAAATGATTACGAAAATTCCCTTTCACTCTTCTCCAATTCCTCATTTCCTTTTCTGGAATCAAATCTCTTCAATATTAGGAATCATAAATGAGATTTATTATGAGCCCCACATTACTGTTCATTCCACCCGTGTAAGTAAATAAATAAGTCATTCGGAATGATAATGACTCCTATTCTACCAATTCCCATTCTAGTTACGTAAACATGCCCTTAAACCAAACCAAACTGCATTGCTTAATGTTTGATTGGTCTGACTTCAAGTGGAACCACACCAGTGACACGACCCCTAAAGTCAAGTATCTTTTCAGAAAAATAGTGGAATAGATAGGATACGTTAAGCTCTAAATCTCTTTACAAAAATAATACAACCGATAAGTTTCACTCCTAGACCTAGTCTTCTCACTTATTGCTTTAAGGATGAAATTTCTTCTTAATATCTTTCACTTAGCATATGTGGCAAGTGCAAGTGTATCTGCCGTGCTGTGATGCATATGTTTTTTTTTTCTTTTTGAAAAAATGAGAGTGTTGTCGGACAACCCTCCAAATATGGAACGAGTTAGTCGTATGACCGTAAGCGGCTAAAGCGTTTGTCACAAAATTTATCTCTTTGAATGGAGAGACATTCTCATGCAACATGGATAACACTTTTTGCTATCCCCGATTAATAATGCAATGATATGTATGATAAATTTTCCACATATCATTGTGTTATTAATCGAGTACAGCAATGCAAGTTTTTTTCCTCTGAGGATGGACATATGTCAAATATAATCAAATATGTGATGTATAATAATTTCTTAAATGATGAGTCATGCCATATGATTTTTTTTTTCCAAACATGCCATATGATTGACCTACTCAATAATGTTTTTTTCTTCCCCCAATTTCACCAGCTCAGCATTCTCTGTCTCTCATGTGGGCCTTTCAAGATTGAAGTTTCAACATCCATCAAAAACCGCTGAACCACTGCTTACGTTTGAACATTTCAAAGCCTTGTTGAAATGAAATTAAAAGAAGAACAAATGAAAAGGTCCAAAGACTCCATTAAACTCTAAAACAGACCTGCAAAACAAAAACCTCCTGTAACTCAGTCCTAATATATATATCTATCTCTCCCTCCCTCCATTAGAATTTAGACCTGCAAAACACATTCATAACATCACCCAAATAATTAAAGGAAAAAGAAAAAGTATAAAGCTAAAGGCCTAAAACTGAGGCTAAAGACTAGAAGCTCCCTAAGAGCCTACCACTACACTACGACCACAAAAATGTACAACACAAAACAAACCGGGTTTAAGTTCGCTTTATCTAGTTATAAACCCTCAAAAACTCGGAATCACTCGGTTCAACCCGGACTCGGGTCCGCCCGCCTCTTTTCTCTTCCTCATCTCCAACACTTTGCGGTGACTATTCGAGTGGACGTCACCAGAAAAAGTCGGACTGCATGCGGGTCTATACTCCGGAAATAGCCGACCAGACTTGAACCGGACCCCGCACGCATTACATAGAGTTTTGGCACCAAGAGGACCGGTTCTCCATTGTGGGGTCTTTTGAACATGGCAATGACTACACCTCCTCTGAAACTGTACCCCAACTGAACCATCGACCCCGGTTTGAACCGCCGGTTTCTTCTTCTGTTTCTTGGTTGCCGGTTCACCGACAAACACGTCGGTGTTGTGAACCGGGTTGTTGAAGATAGGACAAGGCGTTGAAAATGAAAACCCAGAAGAACAAGAAGACGACGACGATGGTGAAGACGAAGACGGGTACGACCAAACTCGACTGGCCGCTCTGCAACGCTTGGTCCTGGGTTTCACTGGAACTTGCGAAGGAAACCATGTGGGTCTTGATTGAACCGGCTTCGCCTCCGGTTCAGACGGGGTCAAGGCAAGAGCCTCCGGTTTTTGGGTACCGACTGGGTGAAGCAGAGAGAGGTCTAACAGAGAATCATCCACAAAGTGAGAAACCCATTCAAGCCCTGCTAAATCATCATCCTGTAAAACCCAAAAAAACCCATAAATTAATTTCAAATAATTTCTTAATTTAACAGAAAATTCAAGCAAAAATTGTTACGTCAAAGCTTGTTACCGGGACTAAGAGTTGGCTGGCCAGAGCAGACTCAGAGTCAGCAGAGACAAAGTTGCTTGAATTGGAACTTTCATCATCCACAGAAACTGAGTCCTTTTCTTCTTCTTCTTCTTCAACAGACCCATCTTCGAATTCGCCATTAGAGAGGTCGAGAAGGTCGTCCACTGAAAAATCTTCACTGGGTACACCAGAAATTCCAGTGGCGCACCAAAACTCATCAATAAAAGCTTGCTGGGTCGACTTCAAGGCCAGTTCTCTGCGTAAACTTGATTTCAAAGCCTTTGCTTCCATGCAGAGCTCCATTTCTACAAACCCAAAACCTCATCATCAAAATTTAACCCAAAGAAATATATAAAGAATAAATTAAACCTGTAGTTTGCTCTGCTTTAGTTCTACATGGGTTTAATTTACTGCAGTTTTTTAATTATATTAGTTCATTATTTTAAAAGGGAGTACCTGATAAGATGAAAGAAGGAAGATAGAGGAGGAAAAGGAGCAGAGGAAGATGGAAACTGTGGAAGATGATGGGGTCAGAGAGAGAGAGTTTGTTGGGTTAAAAAACACTGAAATAAAGGCTGGTGTTGTGGGCAAAGCAAGTGCTGAGTTATTGGTTTTGTGTTTGTTTTTATCTATCTCTTTCAGTGTCTGCCTGTATTTATTTATTTTATTTTATTTTATGTAAATTTAGTACAAATTAAAAATAATGAGATGGGGTGATTTTGGCATGCGTGTGACATTTGGTGGGTGTGGCTGGGAGGCTGACTATTCCGGTCTTAAAGGGTTGGCAATGGCATGCTTGGCCTATTCGGACCAAGTCCCTCCCTCCCCATGAACAAATTCTAGTAGGGTTTGACTACGACCTATATGACCTGTGTGAGGCCGTGACCTTCATGGCATTGGCTTGTGACATCTCAACTTCAAGCTTCCATCCCTTCCAACCAGCCCAAAATCTTATAAAGTTAAGAAATGACATCAAATGTGGATCGACATATCACGTCATTATACTGATATTGAGTATTTGATATGCTCTCTAACGTATTTACTTAGAATGAATGGGAGAAGTCATGAATTGGGGAATTTGGAATCGGATCAACTACTCCCCCTTGTTGATCTGATTCCTAATTTGAAGGGTGTTTGATAACGGATTTTACCATGGACCTTCCATAATTTTTTTTTCATTTCTCATGTGTAAGTAAATTTAGGGGAAGTAAGGATTTGAATCATTCAAATACCCATATGTTAGTAAACATTGAGGAATAAGGAATATGAATCATTCCGATATCCATTACTGATAAGTAAACATGCCAGAATGTGTGTATTGAATAGCATATAACTTTCTTTTAACTATTCTTAATTACGAATGGTTTTTGAACTTCTTTCTAATTCCCGCGGAGGTAATAATGACATGATACAAATATTTTTACCAATTATTTTGTTTACAATAGTAATATGTATTATGAGTGTGGAATTGACTTTTGATAGGAAGAAAGAGTTTCATGGTCCACTTTCTCATCGAAAACCAGAGCTTAAGATAATGATTGGACATGTATTTATGTAATTAATCGTAAATCACAAGAGTTTTCTATTAGTGTTCGAACTCAGGGCTCTTAGCTTAGAAGTTTTACGGTTGAGCGACTTTTTTCGAATAATAAGAATTAAAATTAGCTATTCAAATAATCTATATTTTGAATGTTATTGTTGACATTGGATTATTTGCAAACAAGACCTATCAAGAAGCAAAGATATTTGAATGTTTGAATGAGCGGTTGGTGTTGCGTTGATTGGTGACAATGGATTGTGGAGATTTTTGGCGCTAGGATGGTTCAAAACAAAACGAACCACCCAGGAAACCGCCAATCGTTGGTGTTTGTGTGTGGGTGGCATTTTTACCCTCAACATTCGCCCTTGGACTCACAGTTTATTACGAGATTGGGATTGCGATGGCTTTGCTTTGCTTGTACGCGTTAATCGCGCCACCTTTTCTGGTTAACCTGCAACGTATTTCCCGCGCCTAATATTTTCTAATTTGAGGGAGGCCTAATGATAATTGATTGATAATTAGTAATAAGTAATATGACCCACGCGTTTCCGAGAATGATATTTTTGAATAGTTTTTGATTGCTTAGAGTGGAAAACAGGATCAGACCCAAAAAAACAAAAAAAAACAGAGTGGAAAACAGGGATTCTCAAAAGCAAAAGTGGCATGCGTTTTGGGGGTGGCTTCCAGATTTGGTTTTCAATTTGGAAATTTCAAAGCTTAGTGCTCCACGTTGTCAAACACGTGTTAAAAAGCATGTTGCACCATGGCCTCCTTGGACTTCTTGCTGGCCCTTTTGGATTCTTGTGTTGTGGGGGAAGACTCGTAAATAGCACTATGGTTATGTTTGGTGACTGAAATTCGATTGAATGGAATTGTATCGTATTAGATTACATTGAATTGGAGATGATAATACTAATACATACTATACATAAGTAAGATGCTGAATTATTTTAAATATGCTATTACATGACCTAATACTAATACCTTAGTTACAAGTAACGACTCTTAACCACTTGAGCTTTGTGTGTCTTGTCTATTAACAATAATAAAAGAAACTTAAGGCTAAATCTCGTACTTCATACAAGGATCCTAAGCCTCTACATTTAGTGACTGCATTTACCTACATTTCGCAAGATTTAAACCATTCTAATAATCTTATGACTCAAAATATGACATGTCAATTTTTAAATTTTGATACCCATCCATATAATTCCTACTTAACACCATTAAGTCTAAATAAATTAAAATAAAGAAAACAAAACAATAGAGAAAAAACCATAAACCTATCAGCCACTCATGACACACCCCACCCCACCCCAGTCACGGCAACCCCCTTCCCTCCTCACAACCAACCTCCTCTCCTATTTTCCCTCTCTCTCTCTCTCTCTCTCTCTCTCTCTCTCTCTCTCTCTCTCATAGCAGTCGGGGTCAGGTATTTAACTATGATGCAAAGATAAACCTACGATAAGAAAAAACCATAGCTACTATGATGCACATTCATGGAAGAGAGGGAGAGATTTGTGGACGGTTGAGAGGAATCAGGTAAATTTAGGTGTCATTTTCACGTAGTTTTGTTTTCAACTTATCTTAGGGAGATTCACTATTATACCCAATATAGGGACACAAATTATAAAAATACCCTATATGAAATGGACTTTAGAAACACACCCAAACCCCATTTACAACATAACAAAAAGGCTTTTAACTTCTTATAAATTGCAAAATTGCCATCGATTTCTTAAAACAAGCCCAACCCCAAAACCTCATAAACAAACCCAAAAAACTCAATAGGTCATCAAAGTAATTTAATAATCAAGAGCCACCTGTTATTTTTCGGGTTTTTTTTTTGGTTTGTTTATAGCAATTAAATTGTGTAGGGTTTATTTATATTTTTTGTGCTAAGAATGGGTATATGACTAAATATCTCTTAATTAAATAGATGCATGTCATATTGACAACGTTCATAGTGGGCAAAGAAATAAAACAAATAACCTTTAATCCTTGTTGATTCTCTTGAATGAGAATAGCCAAGAACAAATGGCTCTATGCCTTTTTGATTCCCATGGAATACCAAGTTGATAGAAAAGAGAAAGTTCTTCTCAAAATTTTATTCATAAACTGATTCACAAACTGCTCCCTTCCTTATAATTTCATGCATTATTTATAGGAGCCTCTCAATCAAGATGAGATAACTCCTCATAACTCCCCATAAGATGAGATAAGATAAGATTAGACAATTATGATGAGATAACTCTTTATAACTCTCCTAAACCTTTCCTATCCCAACTTCCCTCCTAATGATAACTTCACATTAAATCTCCCTATAACTCACAAAGATGAAAAGACTCTCCATAACCTTATTCATGAACTAAAATAACTCCCATATGTGAAAAGACACTTATTTAGAATAGGTTATTAAGACAATCCTCATGCATGAATGCGATCCCAACGGTCCACGTAGGTAAGTGTTAAGCGTTCTGCATCACATATCAAGAGTTGTTAAATTATTAGAATGGTTTAGATATTGCGAAATGCGGGCAAATGCACAGTCGCTAAATGTAGAAGTTCGAGATCCATTCAGTCAATTTTTTTTCTCCAGTTTTATCAATAATTCTTTCTCCATGATCTAAAAATACTATAAAAGACTAAAATCCGAAAAAAAAATAGACTAGGAAAATGCTCCTGCTATGCGTTGTACAACAATAGCATCTTTTATTATAGAAAAATAGAGTGACAAATTCTTTTTTTGATACGAAAAATAGAGTTTCATGATCAGCTCGTCTATAGAGATCTTTTAATTTTTTGTATTTATTTTTGGAATGAATAGACTATTATGCCTTGACTTTTTATCCCTTTCATTTCCTCATTGTGTTTCTCTCGCTATCACCAATATCATGTCGGCATAAATAAATAATAAAAAAAGACAAGAGAAAGAGAAAAATATTTATCAGAGAAAGACAAAAGGTGGACAAAACACAACAGAGCATTTCTTGCTTCAGCACTCCTTTCCCTTCTTTCTCTTTTATTGGACTTCTGATTTTCCTATGGTTATTGTCCATTTACTCCATCTTTTCTACGAAAGAAGCAGTGCCATGATTTCTTTGTTCATCATACTTCATATCCTTATTTTTGTTTTCTCTCTGGTCTTCCTCTAACATTTTGTCCCCTACATACCGACGGTTTGAGTTCGATTCTTGTTCACGAAAATATTTTAGCACAAGTGTTGAGCGAGGGTGGGGTAACAGATTTAGAGGAATGCAGCAACAGGCGATACATAAGTTACAACCATAAACCATTGATTCATAGGGATACATTTAAAATTACAATTATGCATGGTCTAGATCACATATTTAAACTAAAATGGAAATTCATCATGTGACTGCATAAAGATCATCAAGGACAGTTCGAACTACGAGTGGTATTCTCACTACATGCAAACCATCTTCCCAGAACAGATTTCCGAAAGAGAATCTTCCTTGAACTCTTAGTAGGGAACAAAAGATAACTTTGAACTCCAGCTTCTTTACAGTAGAATTGAATGACAAAACTGATGGCTTAACTTTCACAGACACACCGGCTGGTGCTTGAACACGAGCAAAGTAGACAGAATTAACCGGACCGACATTTGTGACCCTTCTTGATATTGTCATACTCTGCTTCAGCTCGTGAATGGTGATGGAAGGCAGGTTAAGATTTACAATGAATTTGGTCGATTTTTGGCATGTGATTTTAGTCCCAGCCACTAAGCTGATGGCTGTGTTGTTATAGCCCATGGAGCAAAGAAAATGGATGTAATCCGAGGATTCTATATCATATATGAGACCTGGGGATATGGCTTTGTTAGGATCTACATGACCGCCACCATAATCAAATGGATCAGCCTGCTTGTGAGGAGCTCCCTCAGCCACAATGCTTTGAGCATATTCATCGTCTAGAGAAGCTGTAAAGAGAAGGAAAATTATTTGTCTATGAAGTTACAAAGTTTCTTGAATGCAGTAAATTCCATGAAATCTAGTTTCTCACCTGTTGTAACCAGGGCAGATTTTATTGCAGCAGGACTCCATGTTGGATAGATAGCTTTAAGCAGAGCAACAATACCAGATATGTGGGGACAAGACATGGAAGTTCCTGATTCAATTTGGAAGGTATCTGGAGATTGGGATAGGGAACGAGCAGGAGACCAGGATGCTAAAATATTAACACCAGGAGCAGTAATATCAGGCTGCACAACACATTCGAATATGTTAGTCCTAAAAGTCTTTAAAAAAATCAATGAAAATTATATCACAGTTTTAATACCTTCAATATGGAAGGAGAGAGAGAATTGGGTCCTCGGGAAGAGAAGAATGCCACTTCTGGAGATATTTGTTGTCCCACTTGTGTTTTCGTTGGATTGAACTTGACTACGGGATTTCTGTGGCACGGTTAGGGCATTTTTCTTAGTCCTCCTCAAAATAAAGTCACACAGCTTATTATTATTAACACAAACGATGGTAGTTAAGCCTTTGTAAGAAATATGAATAAAGCTTACAACATGCATGGTGTTTATGGAGATGGAAATTTGCAAAGTAATGCAAAAAATGTGAAGAAATATATATTACACCAGACACTCCATAATGTTAAATGAGTTCACCGTCCCGAATTGGTGGAATAACAAAGCAAAGCTATGGCTTTGCAGCATCTTTAGATTCATATGAGTGCTTACATTAAAAATGAAAGGGAAGTTCACGGATCCAATATAGAAGGGAAATGTAATTATGGCTTCTATGAGGAATGATATGATAAGGAGGGCCAACAACTAAAGGCAAGAAAACCCAGATGCTCTCTTTATTTTTATTTCCAAGTGGTACAGATTCTGCACGAAGAAAAGTTACTCATACTAGAAAATACCTGGTTGCTCCCATGTAAGTTAGCAGATATGTGCCAATTGCAAAGTCAACTTGGACACATGGTAGACTACCTGAGGTCAAAGAAACATCCTTGCTAGGAAACTGAGCAAAAATGAGACCAGCACCCCTAACCTTCATCACTGTTCTGATTGCAGTAATAGCTAACCTCTGTGTTCGAGATTGGAAACAAAGAATCACCTTTCCACTTGCTAAAGTATCATTTAGAGTTCCTGAGTCACAGTTCCTGGTAAAAGTGCATACCATTATAATGTGTGTTCTCTACTATTAGCTAGGAGCTTCATGTAGAATTTAAGCTCAAAGGTAGACAAAAAGGTTTTATACCCGGCACTGCCTTCATCTGCGTCAATAGAGGCAATGTCTCCTCCATACACAAGAGGATAGAACTTGTTCGTATCCATCCCTGTATACAAAGCCTGACCCTGCATATGAACTGATATTACCAACACCAATTTAAACATTTAAATGGAAACTCAGAATCAAGTTGAAGCATAAGGGACATAATTTTTATGGTTAAGATATCAACTTCAAACAAAATAAGAAGTTATTTCATTGCATTATTCATTTGAATCACATCGCAGATTCATAATGTTGAAAACTTTTAAGAAGTGATTAAAGAGAAAGAAAAAAAACAAAACACTTCTATTTGGTAGCACTCACCCAAATTATTTTGAAAACAGAACCAGGATAACAACTATACCAGACATTTCCTAACAAATCCCAGCCTCCCAGATTCTGAAACTAAATCAAATATAGACCTGCATTGTATTGCTGGTCTCGATTGTTAAAACTTAAAACAGCTACATACATAGTAAAAAGTCTCAAATTTTAACTTCAATATTTGACATTAGGTGAAAGTATCCTTTACTCAGGCACACATTGCTCTCACCACGGAGAAAGGAACTTTCACAATAGCCTAATGCAATAATGTTCTCTTGTGAGACAATGTGATATGTTATGTTTCCAGGTCATCACTCGGAACCACGCATTTATAAATTATTCTACCTGACCAATGGCCTTGATAAAATAGGTGGCAACATATCACACCAGACTGTCAATCAAGAGAATAACATTGCTTGTTTTACCAGAGTGTCAATCACGTCAAATAGGAAGCAAGCACAAATTTCATTGCTGAAAGAAGGAACTGATGATGTACCACAACAGTTTGATTGTTTCCCAGGGTAATCACAGTAGGAAAAGCCCGATCAATAGTGCTCGCTGCAACAGTGAAAATCCAGGGAGCAGAATTTATGACAGTTTGAGGGTATGAACCAGAATTTCCAGCAGAGCATATAACAGAGATTCCTTTAGCTACAGCATGGAAAGAACCAATGGACACAACATCCTCAACATAAGAAGGAAGTGGAGGTGGAGAACCAAGAGATGCCGACAGCACATCTACACCATCAAAGATTGCATCATCAAATGCAGCTAGTAGGTCTGCTGAGCTGCAGCCGCCAGTAGCCCAACAAACTTTGTAAACAGCTAACCTAGCTGATGGAGCACCTCCTCTTGCCAATCCTGCAGCTAATCCCATAAAGCTTGCATTTTCTATTGAAGCACCAGCTGCAGTAGATGCTGTATGAGTACCATGTCCTCCAGCATCTCGGGGAGACCGAAATTCAAATCCATCACTTGTATTTAGATTTCCGAATTCAGCTTCATATCCTTTAATATACCACCGTGCACCAATTATTTTCCTGCAAGAACCATAGCAAATACAGTACATGTTAAACCACGTCATTCTCTGATTGGTTCAGTGAAGTAAGTCACTCTGTAAATCAAGGATGAATCTTGATTCAATAAACTTCTTCCCTTACTGGACTCCAGAAAGTTAGTCAAAATCCTCTCCTGTTGAGGTTAGTTATCACAAAGGTCGTATTTGAGGCTATCAATATCAAATATTATATATATGTATAAATATGAAGATGACATAAGTTAACCTGTTACAGTGGGAGCGATTAAACTTTTCTCCTTCTTGACATATTCCTCTCCAACGAGATGGGACGTCTCCCATACCATCATCTCTGAAGCTTACAGACTCGGGCCAAATTCCTGAGTATCAAAACAAACTATAAGTAAAGGTGTAAACTGATCTAAAACACTTTGCAAGCGTGTACGAATTTCGCAACCCTAACCAGTGTCCATGATTCCAATAATAGACCCAGCGCCCGATTGACTCCTTGAAAGAATTCCATTGCTAATATGAGAGTTTACTTGCAGAAAATTCCAACTTCTAGTCGTATGCAAATTAAGAACTCTGTTTGGGATGACATGAACAACGCCAGGGATATCTGCAAGTATACAGTAAAGGGAAACATTAACTACAATTACTTGTTAGCAAAGAACAAGTTTGACTCAAAAAGAAAAAATAAAACATAGTTTACAGTTCACCAAAATTGTAACACCTGCAATAAGCTTGGCTTGAGATTGAGTTAGGACAGCAGCGAACCCTGAAAATCCATGCTTGTAGCTGTACAGAATTGATTGCTTCGCGGCTTCTTTGCTGTGAATTTTTTATCTCAAGCTGTTACTTTCATAGTATTGCTGTAATCATGTCCTGTTAAAAAGTGCTTTCAAGATGATGTTTCATGTCCATGCCTAATAAAATTAAACGCATAACAAAGAGCACCCCATATTCATGCATTGCAGGCAAAAAAGGAAACCATGCCCAAGCATACAAAATCAGCACGCTAATGCTATACAACAGCATACATGAAAATACAATATGCATTTTCAGTGAAGGGAGTTTTCTGCTTTTCCTGTCAAGGCAGTCATCACGAACCGCCACTTCCATGACAATTCTTCCATTCCACTTTCAGTCACATTTCTCACGCCAAACATGCTTTTGGTTATAGTAACTAAGGCAGCAGTTGCAGCATGTTATTTTTTTTTTTTACATGAGAATCAACAATTGGACACAGTAAATTCAATAACTATATAGCAAAATAATCTCCTCTCAGTAAACCTACAACAGTAATTTATCTTCTTTTGTTGGATTTACTTAAATTAAATGAATATTAATCAAAACATTTTCTTATTGCATATAACCAAAGCTAACAAAGAGGAGCTTAGAGCGAAACCTTCCAAACACATTTGACAGAATCTCATGGTGAGACTCAGAAACCAGGTCAGGTTCTTCATGCTGTCTTTCTCCCATATAAACAATGTAAACCTGCCGAGACCAACAAAACAACTATAAATTGAAAAAAAGAAAAAACCCATAAAAGCAAATTGATCAAACTGTAACATCCAAGAACAAACCACAAAATTAGTAAGACTCACATTTCGGGAAGCAAAAGAGAGAAGGACCCAAGAACTGTGTAGAGCAAGAACAAGAAAAAGGGTGGCAATAATCCCAGAAGAAGAAGCCATGCGATTGTGAGTGAGGCCTGAAAATGGCAAAGCCAAAAACACCTCTTGACTTAATAAATTGTTGGGTTGTTGTTAGTTGTTGGTGGGCACTGATAGGTGAGATGAAAGTGATATTGGTTTTCTTGTGGTCATCGTGGGAAAGCATATTCAAGGCCAAGAGGGTTGACTGAAAGTCTCCTCATTTGGGATGTCGAAAGTTATAAAAGTTATTTCTACTCCTAGAAAGCATTAAAACATTGACGTGGCAGACAAAAGGGGTTTTTGCACGTTGAGGCTTTTTGATTTGGTATTTGAACTTTTCTTCCGTTGATAGGGGTCTTCTATTTATAGGGGAAGTGTTGGCTCCTTCAAGGCATGTGCAGGTGTCTTGGGTCTAGCAAATCGTGAGCTGGCCAATGTGGCATAAAGTGCGGCCGAATTTAGATATTTTTATGAGGTTATTGAATCTTGGACTGTAGCGAGGTTCCAAGCACGTGGGTCGGGTCTTGGGTAACAATGACATTGAGCAGTGCGAATTTAAAACGTGACGTCTTCTCACTTGGCGAAGGACCGTGATTTTGGGCGTAGGGCGTGGTTCCATTTCAACCTAGGTTGAACTGAAAATTGAGAGATTGGGCAAATGTGGCACACAGCTGAGTGGGCCGCACCTCGATCACTGGGCCCTAGGCCACTCGCACAGTTTGATCAAGACTTCCGGTTTCTTTTGGGCCCCGGACCTTTACTATCTTGGACTGGGCCGTGGGCCTTTAAAGCTGGGTTTGTAAGAGCAGTTCCAGCAGTTGCCCTTTGCCTTGCAAAAAGCAATGTTGGTTTCTAGCAGTTGCCATGGCAAAGGGCAAACACTATTCATTTTTTTGTTTTTTTAACAAATTTGTTTACCTAAATAATTAATTTGGACAATATTTTCGGATAAGATTTTTGGGTTCCTACGTGCACTGGTGGACCCAGAAATTTTTTAGCGGAGGTGCAATATTGACTAAGTATGAAAAATGATTTTTCAGAATAATAATTTTCTCAAGATAATTTTTGGCAGCTTTTGTTCCTTACACATCAAATAAGAAAACTTGATTTTATGGGATTTTAGCATGAAGTATATATTGACTTAATGAGCCATTATTTTTAGCCCAAATCGTATTTTTCACTAAAACCGATTTTTCATATTTTGATTTGGTGGGAATTTGATTTTCTAGTATTTTTATTTGAATCCAAATGGGGGTTACTTCCTTATTTACATTGTAAACTTAAGTAAATGGAGTAATATAAAAATAAATAAAAGTAAAAGGACAAAGACATTTACTTAAATGTTGAAAATGAAAATAAGGTAATCTGTACACCAGTGAAGAGTTTTGGTAGGTATTTATAGAAAACAAAATTCAGAAATTTTGGGTATTTTTAAAATATTTTTTCGATAGCAGGCGCCGACAGGTGGAAGCTAGCTGTTGGGGTACTATAGCAGGCGCGTAAAAAATGCTGACGTCAGCCTTGCCTAGGGATGGCAAAAATCCCCGCGGGGCCAGGTCCCCGACCCTAATGGGGAGAGATTTTGGGGCCAAACGGGTAACGGGTACGGGAATCCCCGAACTTGAAAAATCCTCGACGGGTATGGGGAGGGGATGGTATTGGCATCCCCATTCCCAAACCCGACCCGAAAATATATATGTTTATATTTAAATAAATAAATATACAATTATAATATTTACGTTTAACCCTAAGTTAACATCCCTCTCCTAATTCTTCCTAATCTTCTCTGGATTTTCATATTGATGTGATTTTAAATAGTTGAGTTAAACTTTATAGTTAATTTGAATGCGTTGAATGATAATTTAATATGAAACTTAATGTTAAAATGTATGATAAATATTTTGTATGCAAAAAAAATCGGGGATTCGGGGCGGGTATGGGGGATAGTCCCCCGACGAAGACGGGGACGAGGATTCCCCAAAACCTATTAAACAGGGATTGGTTCAGGGATGGGGGCGGGGATGGAGAGCGGGGACAGGGATGGTATTGTCATACCTGGCCCCTACCCGGCCCGTTGCCATCCCTAGCCTTGCCCTCAGGCCAGCACACAGGCCAGCCTTGCCTTAGGGCCAGCCTAGGTTGCTGGGTCCCACACTCTGCCTAGGCAATTTTTTGTTGCTGGAAACGGATTTTGGCCCAAACACCCCCCCCCAGCCCTCTTTGCTGGAAGTGTAATCTGGTCAGTTGGGCCAAGCTTGTGACAAAAATGGGCCCGTATCATGTCATTAATCCTCATAAGGCCTATATAGAAAATTTCTGGTGTAAACTATCTTAGGAATTTTTTTTTTAATTTTCTAATTTTGCTTCTTATCACCACCTGATATGATCATGAGTGATCCCTCACGTCTAGATCTACTGTCACACCCACCAAGACACACATCTGGTATTTCTTTGTGGGCCTTGAGTTTTGGCAGACCCTCTATAGTCAAATTAACGAAATGTGTAAATTGATACAATCTTAAAATGTTAGAGTGCAAATTGAGGAAATTAAAACTCTGTGTCCGATTTTGATAATGCCTTCTAAATCTTGGATGGTGGGTTTGATTCTGCAATATTTTACTTTAATTTTTAATTGGGTATAATGTCGTTAGCCCTAAGTTATCTATTGTGGGTTACTTGCAATCAAACTTTGTGGTTTTTCACATGAAAACTTCCTACGTGGGTTGAAGATAGACCACGTGTTCGTTTGTTTAAAGGGGTCCCTAAACCGGTGTCATTTGCTGGTCCAAGTGAAAGAAGGCATAAAATTAGCCGCGAACAACCAAAACCGCTCCTAAACCCTTTCAGTTTCAGACTTCAGAGTTGAGAGAGAAATGTTTCGGAGCCGAGTCGTAGCGTTGTTTGTGAAGAACAACAGCAAAGCTCTGTACAATCTCAGGGGAACGACGCCGTCTAGGGTTCTGAACGAGGAATCTTATCGATTATTCTCTACTGGAGCCACACGCAAATGCTTGGATGGCTTTCGATCTTTCTCTAAGGTTCCTTTCTCTCTTTGTTTTTTAAAGTTCTTTTGAATTCATTTTTGGAAAGTAATTTCGAAAAAAGTATATTAAAGTTCAGTGCTTTAGATTTTGGATGGTGGATTGTGAATGCGGAATTAAGGAAGCTTTTCAGAACTGGGACAAGCTTTGCAGTTTCATTTCCAGCTGTGGAATTTTTATTTGAGTAGTATTTATTTCTGATAATCAAAACCATTCAGTTAAGAATTTTGAGATTTAACTATGAAATAATGGATTTTTTAGTTTCATTTTGTTATTGTAACCAATGGGAAAAAGATATAGATTGGAATTAGAGAATCAGGGAACTACGGGTTTTCAGTTTTAGCATATCATCGAATGCAGCTGCTTTTAATCTTTATTTTCTATAGGTTGACTATCAATTTTTGAAGTAACTCCTTTTCCCATGGTGAATAAATGCACCAAAAATAAATTTTTGCAATTTAACTAGTTAGGCTGGGATGTGTTGTGAAATAATAAATAAAAAGGAAGTTTCTTATGCCATTTTCAGGGTAACTATGTACCATCTATAAGGAATGTGTCCACTGTTGCTTCTGTAGGCATCGGAAATAAGGAGGGATTGAAGCTTCTAGTAAATGGAGGACCTCGTGCTCAGAAAATGGTTGGCATTTGGCTTTTTGGCTCTGCTGCATGGGTGTTTAGTATGGTGATACTTGGAGGTATTACACGACTAACGCGATCTGGTCTTTCGATGACTGATTGGAAATTTACTGGGGGGCTTCCTCCTCTCTCAGATGAGGATTGGTTGCTTGAGTTTGAGAAGTACAAGCAGTCCCCTGAGTATAAGCGGTTAGTGCAAAGTGGAAACAGCACTGTACATTTTTGCAGCAATCGTTTTAGTTTTCATTTTTAGCACTTTGTAGTTCATAGTGATCTGCCTCTAAACTTGAAATTACATTAAAAGTCTTCCAGAATTGATTAAGTTTGATTACAAATGCAATCCTCTATTGGCTGGAAGCAAAACAGAAAATGTGTGCTTTGAACTGAATGACTATATGAGTGATGATAATTTTACAGTTCATGTGTCTATCTAGCTTTTTGTAGTTTACTTTAACCCAGATTTGTAGGATTGACGAATTACATATTTGATATTACATTGTTGCTTTCAATGGGAGTTGAAGTTCTTTTGGACCCTTATAATGTTACCTGGTTCTTGATCTCATGTAGTGTAAATCGAGGGATGAGTATTGAAGATTTCAAATTCATCTATTGGATGGAATATGCACATCGAATGTGGGGAAGGGGACTGGGAATTATGTTTGCGTTGCCCTTCTCATATTTTCTCCGCAAGGGGTATATTACCGTGCAACTTGGACTGAGACTGTCTGCTCTTTTTGGTCTGGGTGCTGGGCAGGGTTTAATAGGCTGGTGGATGGTTAAAAGTGGTTTAGAGGTCAGATGTGGTTTCTTTTGTCGTGGTTTTGATTTAAATTTAATAAAAGCGATGGATTTTTGAAATAATTCTCTCTCACAGGAGCCAGCATCTGAATATGCTCAGCCAAGAGTAAGCCCTTACCGTCTTGCAGCCCATCTTACTTCAGCCTTTGCTATATACTGTGGCCTTTTATGGACAGGTCTTTCTGTTGTAATGCCTGAACCACCTTCTGAATCACTAGCTTGGGTTCGTGGGGCAGCTAAGGTGAAGCGACTTGCTCTTCCTGTAAGCTTACTCGTCGGAGTAACTGCTGTCTCAGGCGCATTTGTAGCTGGGAATGATGCTGTATGTAATTTTTGTTTTCCTTCTTGCCTTTCACAATGAACTGAATGGATGGTATGTGGCTTTTCCTGAGTAGGAGATATAAATATGCTTGTGTGTGAAAATTCCAGGGGCATGCTTATAATACTTTTCCAAAGATGGGGGATACATGTATCCCAGAGGATATTTTTGACATGAAGCCACTAATCCGGAACTTCTTTGAGAATACATCGACTGTGCAGGTATCTTTCTGACCAAAGAATATATTTTATTTTAGTTTTTTGCGACTTAATGTTGCTATATGTTAGCTCTAAGGTTGCTTTTATGATGACAAGGGAAATATTACAACCAAAAAAAAAAAAAGGAGTTAAAAATTGGAAAGATGCCTTATTTTAAGTTTCTTCCTTCAGTAAAAAAAACATCTGTTTTCTGTAGGAACAAATGAAATGTGATTATGTTATAA